TCCGCTTTAAGGGAGCTGTGCATAAACAAATGCCTGCAAACCTCGATGAACTGAAGCAACATTGAAGCAAGAGTGAACTAAGATTCCTTCACAGCAGCGGTTCTCAACCTGTGGGTCGCGACCCAAAAGTGGGTCGCAACTCACTGTTGAGGGGGTCGCAGCATCCACTTCTGCTGCGCTAGGTGAGAGGCTCCTCAGCCTCCTCCTAGCGCAACAGTGTCAGTCAGCGGGAGGACATCAGAGGCTGTGAATATAAAAGTGCCGCTAAACACACTCCCTGGCCGCTGCAGCGACATCTAGTGGCCGGGAAGTGTGTACAGCAGAGCTTTTCTATTCAGAGCCGCTGCTGTCTTCCTGCCTCCCATAGCTCTGCAGGAGGCGGGTGTCTAAGCAGTACTGGGGTTGAGAAGGCTGCATGGAGACAGAGCAGGTAGCAGGGGCTGGGGAGGGCTTGTATTCTTGTGAGTGCGCTTCTATTTTTAGTCCCAAGTCCAGGGCCTTACTAATTCTGGAGTCCAGCGCCTTACTAATTCTGGAGTCCAGCGCTCCATTTGGGGTCACCACAACTTGGCAAATGTTACCAAGGGGTCCCGGCCCTAGAAAGGTTGAGAACCACTGCTCCACAGCAATGTGAGAGGCTGATAAAGTCAAACAGAAAATGATTACTTCAAGTCATTACTGCAAGAGGTGGTTCTACAAGCTATTGACCCATAAGGTGTACTTGATTTTTCACACATGGCTTCTCCATTTTGGCTTTATGTTTGTAAAATAAATAATGACACGGTGTAATATGTCATGTGTTGTTGTTCATCTGAGGTTGTATTTATCGAATTTTAAGACCTGCTAAGGACCAGATGATTTTTATTATATACTGATACTTAAAACCATACAATTCAAAGAGGGCGTCCATCCTATTTCACAAGACTGTATAGGCTCCTTTATTATAGGAGTAATAGGGCTGCCTTTTGCTAGCACTACAGTGGTCTGTCGAGTGAAACATCTGTAGCCGCTGTGATAGTGAATAATGGATTCTTTGCAGCATAAGCAGGCAGTGACAGGAAATAGATATGCATCCCTCATGCACCAATTACAAGATATAATAAAGAACAAAAAACATTGCAAGTTGTCACGTGCCATCCAAGTTCTCTACAAAAATAACTCTGTTCACACATGGCATGTTATCACTGGTGCAGTGCGAGAATGTGGCTTTGAACTGGTCCACCACCCATCTTATAGTCCAAATTTAGCACCTAGTGACTGTTTCCTCTTCTGATATAAAAAAATATCTGTGTGGGGGAGCATTCCAAAGACTTATTTCTCTGGTATTTCTTCATTACCTGTCAAGTGGAACAGATGTATCGAATTGAGGAGGAATATATTGAAAAGCAATAAAGGAATTTAGTTTCTAACTTGTCTTCTTTGTAGCTAGGTAGAAAACATTTTGTACAACCCTTGTGTTTGTATATAAGCGGAATATGCCAGTTGCCTGGTTGTCTTGCTGTTCCACATTGGTTTCAATACTTTTGAGTCAAGGATTTCTATAAAAGATAAAGCAAGTCAGAGAAAGCTCCTTATCTGCAAAGCAAATATTTTTACAACAGAATAGTGGCCTTCACATTTCTTTTATGACAGGTTTACTTTAATACTTGTCAAATGTTTGCTAGTCTCTTCTTCTAACACAAGCATACAGATCTTTCTCAGCGTATTCGGTTCACCAATTTATGACTGCTTTGCTAAAACACTTCCCCTATATAGTACCTGAAACCTAAAACGGCTGCTTTGGCCAAATATTTTCAATAACCTTCATCAGAGGTAGGCAACCTTGGCACTTTAGCTGTTGTAGAACTATGAGTTCCATGAGGCATTGCAAGACTCTGACAGCCACAGGTTGTTTGTAGTTTTGCCACAGCAGGAGTGCCAACGTTGTCGACCCCCGACCTATATAAACAAAAAGGAAGACAAAACCAGTCAGTGATCATTAGGACATATGGGCTAGTGGATACTTTTAGAAACAAGAGGCAGTTAATTACATTTTAGTTGTCCAAAAAGCATTAGACTGACTCTAGACAGATATAAAATACACAAATGAATGCAATACTGTAATTATAAAGGCATAATTAAAAAGATCGAGGTCATCTAGCCTTGAGACACAAGTTCTGTTTGTGGGGGTGGGTGGGATGGGGTGGCAGTTTTGGATTGAAGGTTAGTATTGCAGAAAAAGCTGCATTTTTTATTGTTTAACAATCTGTTAATGTATTTTTTACTAGAGTTATACGGTAAGGAGGTATTTGAGCTTACGAGAAACAAAAGACATTGGCCTACTATAGGGTTGCATTGAAGGAAAATGACGCTCTAAGAACAGCCCAGCAATGGTGCCCAAGATTTAAAAAAATTGCTCAAAGTGAAATAAAAGTTTAAAAATGTATAAACTTTCTTCAGTTTTCTTCCAGGTCAGCCTAAGGCCAGAAACCATAACTATATTAATTAAAAACCTTTTCATTTTAATCATATAACAGATTGGGCATGGATCAGAATCAATCACCTGATCGAGGCTTTTCATTTAGAAATAATTAGGGAAATCATTTATTTGATAAATGATAATTAAGAAGTCTGTAGGCCTCCTCTACCTTCATCTCCAAGGGATGAAGGTACATGAGCCCCATACTGTAGAAGTCTATGAGGCTTTAATGTGCCCGTATGACCAGGAGAGAGGACTTGCGGCATATGATGTACATCAAAAGGAGGTTGTGACAAGGGGGGTTGAGATCGGTTAGCTCAGGGCAAAGTGGCGAAAAGGATAGGTGTACTTTGTTTTAAAGTGCACTTTAACCTCACCGTAGCTAGGGGAACAGCTCTGTGGTGCCCCTTCCCTAGATTAGGCACATGCTTATATCACTTAATGGTTCATCGAGCCCTGGGCGGCTGCCTAACAAGGTACAGTAAGGAGACAGTTTGTATAGAGAAGTGAATGCTCAGATTCACTTCATGGCTTTTTTTTTATTGTTTATTGTGTAGGGTTTTGGGACAAGAACATTGAAATAAAATACAAAAAGGAGGGGGTTGATAGGTCATTAGGATGGCTAAAAGCTGGACTTAGCTAGGTTAAGACAATGGCTGAACCATTCAGCTTATAGGATTGAAAGCATTTCAACCTTTCCAGCTTCACAAGTCACAAAGAAGCTTATGGCACAGAGCTGTGTGAAAGGTAAGCTCCATGGTTCTGGGAAGACTGCAGATGAGCCTTGTGGTTGGCACAGGAAGCACCATTGCTTCTGTATTTCTTTGAGTTACCACACAGAGATTATATTGTTAATTAAAGCAAACCTGTCACTTCACTGATTCAGGCAAGAGTAAGTAATTCACCCTAGATCCTGTCTCCTCTGTGCTAGACTCCATTCCCCAGCCTATGTCACTTACAAAAATGTGCTTCCAGGTATGTGGGAGTCTGTGACTCTCTCTCCTTCTTCCTGCATAGCCTGTGTGCCCTGTCACCTAGCCCAGACACCATCACAGGGTCGTAAGCTCTGACACAGAGCAGAGCAACAGTGAGCTTACAGAGAGTTTTTTTTTTTTTTTATCCGGGTAGGAGGGGATGGAAAATTACATGGAAGGTAAGTATCAGTAGCAGAGATGGTAGACTATCAAGATAACCTGTTTTTTTGACCTGAAAGGGCAAAATGACAAATTCACTTTAATAGTGCAACCAAAGCAAAATGGAGGGTGGCTGAACTTATCTTCAGAACGGGGGGTGCAAGTGAATGCCCTCACGATCAGATGGAGCAGGACTTTAAATACATTTTCAAGGTATGCTGTTGTAAACAAGAAAAACCACAAAGTCCATTTGGAGGGGGTAGTTTGTGAATTTCCAGGCAGCAGTGTTGACTGTGTTCCAGAAGGGTTGAATTTGTGGACACAAACAAACTCCATTCTGGTGTCTGCTTGCTCTCTTATTTTATTTGCAGTTGCAAGCATGGCTGCTGTGAGTCCGAGCAGAGGTGCCAATCTGCTGTAAGTGAGGAGATAGATGACTATCACTTAGTCGTTGTGGCCACAGGACGCATCCACTGTATAAAATAGAACTTTGGCTGTGCTCTTGTTTTGAAAATCCAGTATAGTCCCTTTTGCATCTGAGGTCTGATTCTTTTCACTAATCTGATTTTTGAGGGCCGGATGGGGAGGAGGGTGCCTTATTTTTATATTAAAGGAGAACTATGGGGTTAAGGCTTTTCCCCATAGTTCTCCTTAGGGTAACGGGAGGACACAAGCTAGTGTCCTCCCGTCACCCTAAGCTCAGTATACCGCGAGCTACAGCTCGTGGTATACTGAGACGCCACAGTACATCGCGACCTACTGCTCGCGGTATACTGAGACGCTGAAGCGGATCCCGACAATTATGTCTGGATCCGCCCAGCTGCGTGAGTGACAGCTGGCTCTGCCTATCTAGAGGCAGAGCCAGCTGTACCCACCCCCTCCCCCGTCCGATCCGCCAGTCAGCGCTGGCGGATTGGAGCGGGGAGGGGGGAATCCAGCCCCTCCCCTGTCACGGCAGAGAGCCGTGGCAGGATCGAGAAGTGAGCAAACGCCGGTATGTGTTCGCTCACCTCCCGATCTACTGAGCCGACCTGTGACAGTCTCATTGTCACAGGTCGGCTAGAACTATGAGGTGAGTGAAAAGCACTCACCTCATAGTTCTCCTTTTAATTTTGCACTTATGCCTTATAGCATAAACACTCACTGGCAAGATTACCTTCATCAGCTGGTAACTTTCATAAAATATCGCTTCCTTAGCCTTTTGTTTTTTGCATTTATGATGGAAGTAGTGACAAAGGGATCTATGAAAAAAGGAAATACATTTGTGTCAGAGTATCTGTCTCAATCAATGCTTCTTTGACCTGGTGAAGATGGCATATCTTTGAAAAATGTACTGTTAGTCAAAAAAAAAAAAAAATCACAAGATACCGAATTTCTCAACTTCCTACTTTTATCTTTCCCTATAACAGGAACAGGTGACATCGTTGCCATCATGATCTCGGAGTCCACAGGACGGGAAATCTTGAATTACGTTGAAAGGAACATCTCTGTCCTCATGGCTATTGCGGTTGGATCACGTAGCCCAAACAGGAGCTTTAGTCGCGGGTCTTTGGTCTTCGTCTCAATCTCATTCATCGTTTTGATGATCATATCTTCGGCTTGGTTAATATTTTACTTCATACAGAAGATCAGATACACAAGTGCCCGAGATCGAAATCAGGTAAACCCTGACATTTACATTTTATTTAAGCTGGAACAGTTTTATATTTCAGATTAAGTCCCATGTTACACTAGTGATTCTGTTTCTGGTGGCAGCTTGCAAGTGATCGGATCACTAAGAGGGCATTCACCTGCTCTTACAGCGTCGCTTCCTGGTGGCTGAACCAGCAAGGTGTCATTCAAACACTGCTCCTTCTGTAGCCAAAACACTGCAAAATCCCAGTGAGGGAACATTGTCAGAGTAACACCTGGCTGGTTTGGGCACCAAGGAGCAATGCTGTAGGATTAGTTGAGTTCTCTCTTCAGCAATCTTCTTGCTGATAAGTGGGCACCAGCAGCAGGAACACTTGTGTGAGTTAAGGTGTGTTACAGCAGTTTCTAAATGATTCTTACGGTGTTTCTCCGACAACCATGGGATCCCTTTATTACTTGTCAATTTGTGATGGTTGGAGCATGCACAGAAGCAAGGATTGGAAGGGATCACATGATCTTTCTTCAGCTGTCACTTATAGGGAACTTCTCAATTACTCTCAATTATAATGTTTTTGATATACTTGTAGATCTTATCAGTGGGCAGCCATATTTGCACAATACATAGGCAAGCCCTGCTCCCTGCTTCCTCTGCAGTTCTACACAATGGTTCTGCTTGACTGTTCCTTCTTTCTATGAAAGTCTGACCCAATGAAAACCATAAACTAGCTGTGTGGTTAATTATGTATTAAACTGACAGACTGTATACAGGCTTTGTACATATTGCCTGTGATCTGAGCTATCAGATGACAGCTCAATCACAGGCATTGAGCGCTCACCTGGCACACGCAGAAGCAGTCATTTGTAAATGACCCTTCAGAAATGCACGTCCACCTCTTAGCCATTTTTTTTTTATATTGCAGTATTGAGGTGGTTAAGTTAACCCTGTCATAAGAAGTATATGGGAGCTGCTATAGGTTACTAGCTCAAAATCCTAGATGAGTGAATGTTAATGCTGATCTACTGGCACTTTTTCAGTCACTGACTCAAGTCAAGTCTGCAGACCTTTTTTTTTTTTTTTTAAACATGAACCCCGGGCAGATATTAAAGACACAAATAAATGCAACTCTGTATTCATGAATACATCATTAAATGTATTTTTGATGGCAAGCAGTGTAAATAACCTACATTTCTCTTGGTATCAGTATCTTGCATCCCTGTGCAGCAGAGCCCAGACTGGGAGAGTTAGAAGCTGCATAAAAAAGCAGCCAGTTGTACATCAATGTTCATGTGTTGCAAGGAGCATGCTTGTAAGAGGAGTAACAGGGATGAGCTCATCATTTTGTTGTTGCTTTTTTCACTGTTCAGTCACAGGCAAGGGGAGGGACAAGCCCTTAAAGTATTATTTAACTGCTGCAGAGAGAAATCTGCCCTTCCGGGCATAAAAAAACCCATATATATATTTTATCGCTGTATTTATCTGCTTGCCTGGAGTTCATCTTTAAAGAAAACCTTAACTGAAGAGGCATTGAGGCTGCCATTGCTGACATGTCCTTATAATTCCATCAGTTCCTGGCTGTCATGATGTTCCTGTAGTGTCAATGCTTTTTACATTTCCTAACCTTTCTGATCTGCATACCTTTACTTCAGAAATATTGAGGCCAGAGACAGCCAGGCAACTACCATTTTCAGAAGGAGGTCAGTAATAACCGCTTCCATGCTTTTGCTGGTACACATTTCCTTCCCCTATTGAAGTTATGCTTGTGATTGTTTAGATTGTTATTGGTAAAAACAAAAAGTAATGAAAAAAAACACACCGGGCCAGAAGTAGGGTTGCCACCTTTTCTTTCAGCGAAACACGATCACTCTAGTGAAATTTTGGGGGGAGAATAAGTCGCGGCTTATTCATATGTAAATAGTGCCACCCATTCATATGTAAATATCACAGTCAAGACTATTTTCAGTGGGGGGCCAGTAGCCCCTATCATTAATTTTGGTTGCCCCTGTCTGCCTGTGCCTGGGTCTCAGCTGCCATGAAACCTTGACACAGCATTCAAAACCCGGACTGTCCAGGTGAATCCCGGACAGGTGGCAACCCTAATCGGAAGTCGTATGTATAGCTTCACTATTGTATTGACATAAATAATTAAGAAAATATAGTACAGTTTAGCATTTGAAAAAGCCGTCTTTACTAACTCGACCATTAACATGTCATAGGTTTTATAAAGCGGCTGGTTTAAGTGGTTAATGTATGTTACAGTACCTGCTTACTTTTGATTAATGTATTTTCCTTTTCAGCTGCATTTAAAGTACAAACAATTGCTCTCTCTATAGAAATCAATAATAATAATAATCTAAACCTATTTACAACTGTTATTTCACTATCTAACAATATCATTTCTATTTAAGTTTATATGTATTCATTATAGCGTGATAGGCTTTCTCCAGTTTTTGCAATTGATCTCCGTTTCATCTGTTTGCTTTACAGAAATGTTTGGTAAAGCAGCAAACACACAAAGGGTGCAGTTAGAGACGTGGAGGTACTTAGCAGAGAGGAAGTTGAGAGTAGCCATTAGCTACTTCACCAGTCATTCAGAGAGGAGGTAGTTGCAGTTGCATGGAGAGTGTTGTCATTCCCCTACTTCTAGCAGAGCTATAGTGGTATGTGAAATTGTCAGTTAAAACTGTTCTTATATATTTGTTTTAAAGCTAAATCAGGCTTGATTCCCCCCCCCCCCGCGCAGTCTGTGCTTACCCATGAACAATTCCACCTGGATGCAAACAGTCTGTATCCAGGTGCAGTTGTCCGCATATCATTGAAGGCTGCAAAGAGCTGCGGGTGGTGGCAACTGTCATTGTATTGTATAGCGACTCCTGCCCGCAGCAGATTGCATGAGTCTCACGGAAGAACTTGTGAGACAAATGCCATCAGCCCCATTGGCAGCTGTGAAGGGGGAGCCTTATGATATTGGTGCCTTTGGTGCACTTAAATTTAAAAGTACACCTAAGGGAAATCCAGAGTCACAGCATTACAGTGCTTATGACAATAGTAATTGTTGACAGCCCAATATAAGCTTACTTGAAAAATCTCCTTATATGTTGTGACTAGAGGTGCACCGCAATGAAAATGTCAAAAACGAAACCAAAATTTAAAAAAATGTCAGGCCGAAACCGAAAATGTTTTTTTATTTTAACTTTTTCTAATTTTTTTAATATTTTATTTTTTATAAACTTTAAAAAAATTTATATTTATTTTTATTTATGCATTAATTTTTTACTAAATATTTTTTAACTTTACATTTAGGGGCTTTGGGGAAATATTATGAGTCTAAACAAACCCCTGATATTTCCCTTTTTAAAATAGAAAAACAGATTGAGGACACAGAGTCCTAAATCTCTTTGTCTGCAGACCCTGATATAAATGAACAGGAATCCTCTATACTGAGTCTTCCTGTTCATTCATAACATGAGAACATGGTATGATTACTATAACTACGACTATGAATGAACAGGAGGTGATGTAAATCACTTCCCATTCATTCATAATTGAGGATATAGTTAATATGCTATATCCTCAATTATTTACAATCACTCAGAAACCACTGATCGCTGAGTGTTTGTACCTCGCTCTTCTTCCTGACACGGTGTCACAGGAGGCGGGGCGGTGCGGGAGGAGAGCTCAGCCTCCTGTGACAGCGCTGGCTGTCTCCGCCTACACAGCGCTCTCCCGATCTGTGACAGGAGGTTTTTGCGGTGCGGGCAGGAGAGACGCCGGCCGCTCACATCGCTCTCTTCCTGCAGCGCTTGCCCGCCTGTGACAGTTTCTCTCCTCCCCGCTGGGACACAGAGCAGCGCCCAGCGGGGAGGAGAGAAAGAATGGATGCACCGCTGTATCGGCCAGAAAATGGCACTTTCTGCATTTTGCCAAAAGTGCCATTTTCGGCCGATATATCGGTGCATCCCTAGTTGTGACGGTTGTCTATCTGGCTGCTCTCACTTTCAACGGCGACTTGGATTCCCTGCATGCTTGGCGGTTTCTCCTCCACTCATTTATTTGGTTTACTTTCGATTTCTAAGGACCTGCTGTGCAAGCAGTCACATATGGTGTGTTTCCTGTGCTGCCTATACCTCTTGAAAATTTCCTTTGTAGCACAGGCAGCAGGCACTTTGAAATGGGTGACGCATCAGTACATTATAACAGGGCATAGTGAATATGTGTCACTGCTTTCAAAGAAAGTAAATATGTGGGGGAAAAAGTAAGTTTGCCGACTTCAAGATCATTTACATTAATAGGAGTAGGCTAGAAATATTTGAAATTCGATATAAAAATAAAGATATGATTTTACATTTTGACCAAAGATACACCTGAACCATTAAAGCCTTACTCCAGGCTGCTTTACCTGCCAAAATAATTTGTATTTCTATCCATCCTGTCCTGAATTACATAGCTTTGCTACACATTTCAGCCAGCCCAGTGACCTGAATTTTCTCTGCTGTACTTAAAGTAGAACTAAAGTCCATTCTTTTCATTTTGGATAGAGTAGGAAAGAGTTTGAACCCTTCAGTGTTTTTTTCGCCATCTGAGACATTTTCTTTCACTTCCTGTTCAAAAGCCACAACATGAAGTCAGGAGAAATCTCTCCAAAATGAGAGAAATCCCTATTATCACCATGGTCACCAGAAATAGTGTCTCCATTGGAAGATTTCCCCTTTATTCCTATTCTGGCGACAATTCAAAATTTGGGAATTTTTCATTTTCACCGTCACCAAGGCCATTA